TTTTCGGTCTATTGTCTTGAATAACATAACCTAAGTTAAATAATCCGAGCTTGCATGATTGTTGCTTAGATTGATCTATTCTCCTAATTCTTAAGGCCACCATTGAATTAAATTTAGAGAGCTTGTTCTAGGTTGTTCAAGGGTTAGTATCTACTCGAAGAGCTTGTTTCAGTAGTGACAAACTAAGGGAGAATTTGGGTAACAGAGTTTGTTGTTTCCTAGTGTCAGTAGTTCCATAATGATGAGATAGAACAGTGTTACGGTTACTTTATGTCCAATGCATGTTTAGGTGGATATTGAACCGAGAACTGATTGTGTAACCTGATATTTTATTTCTCTGTTTTGCTTTAGTTTGCCTTGATTACAAACCCCCTTTCATTACTGTTGTCAGGTTTACTTTTTAGAGTTTAATTTGCGTTTTTGTTGTTTTTATTGTTTTAGAATATAGAAATTAATCGAGTCATTCCCTATGGGATCGACCCTTGCTTGCCCTTTATACAATTCAATAGTTAGGTTAGTAAGGTTAATTAATTTGGTGCATTCGGCACGCTACCAGGTCACCTAGGGGTCCTGTAATAAACATCTTGAGTCTTCAAGTATGGTTGCCTTGTCCTTTGTTCTGTCTTCAAGTACATTACAAAAACATCATTCTAAATTTACAATAAAATTAATTTTAAACTAATTTTACATCAACAAATTAGAAACCTCAATTTACATTCGAGGGGAATGAGATGAGAAGAGAATGTACTCTGAGAAGAGGAGAAACGTAGGACACGCAAGCCCTATTTAATAAATTATAGAACCATACATACCCAAAAATAATTTAGAACATTCACCATAGGTCATAAGGCTCATGTACCGTGCACCATGCAATATACAAACAAGTACATAACATTCATTTCAAAAACAATCAATTTTTTGAATCGAGTGGGTTATTTATTAATTACCCTCTTAAAATGTGTAGAATGATCATTGGCTTTATAGGTTATTTAAAAAAAAAAAAAAAAAAACTGCATTTCGGTCCATTCGCAGAAAGCACAATATTGGGGCAGTAGCCACGTCGCCGCGGCAAAACCTAGAAATCCCTAATATGAACAGTTCACGTTTTTTATAGTTTTTGTGTAATAACACGAATCCAAATCAAATCGAACGCACACACGTTCAACCAAGACATCAACCAACCAATATAACATCCATCAACACATTATTAAACCAATTTATCATTTGAATCATTCATCCAAAAGCAGATTTTTCATATTTTGCCGATTTTCAAAAATAACATGATATCAACCAAATACATGTTATAGTTCATACAATAAACTGTAAAAATTTGATACTCGAGCTTTGATACCACTGTTAGTGAACGACCCAGTTACGCAGCGGAAAACAAAAACATAAACTACATGGATCGTTCCTTAGAACCAAGATCCGGGTACAAAAATCACAGTTCATACAATATATATATTAAATCTGCAGAAAAATCTTTTCAAGGTTTAAGGAATCATACGCACGTTTGGAGGCTCCTCCAACTTTGTCTCTGAATGTATTTGCTACCAACCCAAGTGTAGGATCGAACCGATGTAGTCCACACAAAGATAATCGCAATGAACTACAGAGGGATTTGCTAGATCCTCTTCAGCATTAAGAACAAAGAAGAAATGAGGAGTATTTGATTTTTCAATCAAAACTAAAAGTGGCGTGGGAGAGAGTATTTGAGGCTGGAGGGTTTTGTTTTCAATGAAAAAGTAATGAATGAATAATCCCTTAACTTTTTCAATGAAACCTTTTTTCTTTTATATTGATCTTTTAATTGCCCTATTCCCATATGGAATGGGTTTGGGCTCCAACCCAAACACCCCATATTTCCAAATACTCCCAATTAGATATTTATTTTAATTCATCATTATCTCAATTAAAATCCATTAATATATATATATATTAACATTTAACAATAATGATAATTTATTTAAATATATGCTAATACATATTTAAATGTAACTTATTAAACTTTTCTAACAAAGAAATAAAAGGCTACGACCTCAACAAATTTAATTGCACTGTGAAATTACCAAAATACCCTTTCACCTAAAAAGACGAAAACGCCCTTCTTACTTCCTAAGTCTTAAATTATTTTCTATGTGTGTGACCATAGACTCCATCATACCGAAATGTATAGTATCGCGATTAACACCAATTAATCGTCCACTAATACATGACCAAGATTGACCTCTAGCAAGGCATCATGACACCTGATAGATTCGGATTCAGCAAAGTAGCTACCTGTCACGATATGGTTACCATACAATTTGATCATTTCATCATGCGTTATCTCGATGAGACAAAGGCATGAAATAGTGTCAACCTTCGGTTACTCTCGATATTATGTATTCAATTTATAGACCAATGACATGTATTATAAACTGGATAGAGCAACAACTCAATCCCACTGTGGCCACGTTTTAGTGTCATTGCCATATATTGAATTGCGCCATGAGATACTTCTCCCGTACCCAGGAGTGATGAATCCTCTGTCATCCACCATAGTCTTGATACACTCCTTGATGCAGCCAATCACCACCGTATTGACAGCTCTGAAAAGAACTGCGTTAGGCTAGTGTCAAACTACACCAATCGGTGCACAAGGCGCTCCGGTGATCTCAAGTCTAAGGATCACATGCACCACCATTCGTTAGAGGATTTGTTCCATAGACACTGGGGTTACCATCCATATGGAGTCCTCTGGTGGGTCAATCCAGTGAACTTGCTGCGGTGTATTCGCCTACAGCAAGCACCCATGTGTTGCACCAGGTTGTCACCAAACAACCTTGACAAGTGAGATCAGTCATTGTCTTTCGACAGGGTCGTTCAACACTATGATAGTCTTACCGTATTATCTGTGCCCTTACTTCAGAATAATATTGGGGCTACAGACATTTCTAGAATGGCTACCATATGTGCTCATAGGGTTCTCACTATCAAGATTTGAAACACTTGATACCCTTGTCATGGTTCTACCATTCTAAGGACATATATCAATACATATTGCAATAATAATGATTTACGCGATATAGAATAAAATGCCTTTTATTATTGATTAATGGACATTATTACAAAGAGTCAATTCTACAATAATTGATTGGCTCTAGGGCATCTACTCTAACAAAGGTAACTGTACCGTTAACAAGCTGCGGTTTTGCTGAATCCGAATCTATCGAGTGACCATGATGCCTTGCTAAGGGCCAATCTTGGTCTGTATGTAGTGAGACGATTAATTGGTGTTAATCCCGATACTACACACTGCCAATATGATGAGGAGCCTACGGATTACAAACTTAGAAGATAATTTAAGAATCAATTTGTGAGAAGGGTATTTTCATCTTTCAGGATGAAAGGGTATTTTGGTAATCTCACAGTGCAATTAAATTTGCTTTGGTTGTTGCCTGTATTTAATTTTAATATTAAAATTAAATTAGTGAGATTATATTTAATTATATGTATCTATGTATGAATTATTATTATTAATAATTAAATGTTAATATATTATTATATATTAATTGATTTTAATTATAATAATAATTAATTAATTAAAATACCATAAAGGGTGTGTTTGGTTGCAAAGGTGAACTAGAGTTGGAGCTCATGGCTATTCCTAAGTGGAATAGGGTTTTAATTGTTGCACTATATAAGTGCAACTTAAAATTAAAACAAATAAGAATTATTCAATGATAAAAAACCCTAGCCACCCTCTCTCTCTCTCTCTCTCTCTCTCTCTCTCTCTCTCTCTCACTCTCACGTTTCACTCTTGAGTGAAAAGAAAAATTTTCTTTTTCTTATTTTTTTATTCTTGAAGCTTTTTGATTGTTCTAGCAAAATAATCAAGGGTTCTGCGGATTGTCTTCGTGTGGATTTCCATGAGTGCGATCCTACTTTGAATCGATTAGCGAAGAATCACGTGAATAGTGTCAATGAACATTGTTTGGTGAACAGTGTTGATAAACAGTATCCGGTAAACAGTGTCGATGAACAATAGCAGGTGAACAGTGTTCGTGAGCGTAATCAGAGATATTCGGAGGAGCCTCTAAACGTGTATAAACATTGTGAATCCTTGTATGGATTTATCATATTGTTGTGATGCAAAATTTATAAACATTATAATCTATACCCAAATTTGGGATTATGCATATGATCGGGTCTTTATTTGTTTTGAAACTGTATTTTTTTACTGTGTAAACCCGATCACATACTAACGAAGAGATGCTTATGAGGTTTGTAGCTTTGGTTGGATTGTGAAGTACAATAATAATTATTTTTATTTTTATTTTCTGATGTGATATAGTCTGATAGTTGTACTTTCTCTGTCCATTAGCATCACGATTGTTAACTTCTGTTCTTCCTACTAAAAATATAACTGATCTTGTTCTGACATGGTCCAACTAGCCCCAATTCTCTTTATGATGATTTGCTCATTCTGGTATATTGCAGATTCTGCAAGATTCTAAGAAGAGGGCTCAGTATGACATGGTAACTACTCTTTTTCTTCTTTCTCCCTCTCTTTCTTTTCATTTACTTATGTATTCTTTCACTTCTAGTTTGTGATTCTATAGTCATTAGGTATCTTCGGTCTGTCTTTAGTATTGTTCGGTGTTTTTACAGGAGGCACTTAACTTTTACATGTTAAAGATTTCAAAATGTATGCATTTTGATTCTTGTGTCACACTAAAGGTTTTCAAATTTACTGAATCATTTTTTTTTAATCCTTATGATTAATGGAAGGGTGAAGTAGAGGCTCGGAGAATGTAGACCATATATACTGGTGGTGCAGAGGGGTTTAGATATGCTTATCAAACTCATTTCTCTGGTTCTTTCCATAAAATATTCTCTGAGGTACTTCTCATCTCCTGTTTTCATGTTTTCATCTTAATGTAGTCTATTGTCCTAAACTGTTAATATTGAAGTTAGGAGAAAGTGGATGGGCATCAAAAAACAGTTTCATACCAAGAATCACCAATAATGTCTACTTATTTGGTGGAAGTTGTTATTGGTTTGTTTGATTATGTGGAAGATCACACATCTGATGGTATGGTTATACTATATGTTCTGTTGACTTTTCTTCCATATTTCATGGTAATTCCTATAAGAAAAGTATATGTTCTGTTGACTATTTGGTGTACTATAAGAAAAAAATATTTTTGAAATATTAAGCTTGGATTAAATGTGTTAGTCAACTTAAAACTAAAATTGATATATTTGGTAGTAATTTATGAAGTTTGGTAGTAAAAAACACTAGGACATTTAGTGAGAAATATGGAAGGAGATCTGTTAGTTGTCTCTAATATGATCTGATTTCCATGTTACTAATTTGATTCTATTTGCATTGGAATAACTTATGTTAATTGCATAAGTAGCATTACTGAATATTGTTTCCTTTCTAATTTACGGGTGTCAAATTCAATAATACTATCAGAGGTCTAATAATTTTATGATCTCAGGTGCTAACTATTTTCCCTCGCCTTGTTGGCCTTCCATTAGAAAAGTTCCAGATGGCACTTGCTCACATACTACAGGTATGCATGAATTCTCTTGATGTGACTTCATAATTTGCTGTTTGGGTTCTGTTGGAATTGTTAAGACATTCAGGGACCCACTTGTTTTTGCCTACTTATTATAAGTGGTTGTCACATAGCTTTGTTACGTAATCCTTCTCAAAGGAAAAATAAAGCCACTCTGGTTGATTTTCTGAGAGGAGGTAAATTTTGATTGATTTAAGTCACAGATTCAAATTCAGCCTAAAGTTTTAGACAATATGCAAGGAGTGTCTTGACTTCCATTAGAAGCATGGATGCTTAGTTAACTTATGTTTAGACATTGTGAACAAATTGCTTGCTTTGATCTGTCATGCGATAGTGGCAGTGAGAGTTCCAAGCCAATTTTATGTGCCTTGGATTTCTCGCTATTTCTCTTTTGCTTGCTTTCTAATTCCAACAGTGAACTTGCTTTAGTTCATTTTGGTGATCTTGTAGTTTTTTCTTTGTGCGGAATTATTAAATGTTATAATGTTTTCACGTCATTTTGCTTTCCCCTTTGACTTGGAATCGGGAAAATTGCTAAGAGGTCATAATTGTTAATGGCGGGTTTTAAATTGCTATTTATTATAACATGCTATTTCACCTTTTCTATTGTCTTGGAATCGACAATTGCTAAGAATTCATAATTGTTTATGACAGGGTTCAGCTCATACTGGTCCAGCTTTAACTCCGGTAGAAGTGTTGGTTGCAATACATGAAATTGTTCCTGAGAGAGATGGCCTTGCACTGAAAAAGGCATGTCTTTTGTCATTCTGAACTTAATGGTCTTGGAACTTTACACTTTGGTTGACTGTGATGGTGATCTATAAACTACACATTCAGATCATACTTATTCTTCCCATCACCCTCTTGGTCCGTAACTGTTTTATCCCTTTTCACCTAATGGATTGATTTTTGTAATATAAGGCCGGAGAAAGCTTGTCCTAATTTTTACATAAAGAAAATATTCAAATTGGAATGCAGTTCCCTAGTTTGGGCTTGGTAGAGTAATTAGTAGAATTCTGGGGTTGCCCGATTTGAAACCAACCTGTTTCAGCTATGGTTGCTTAGTCCAAGCTAAGGCTGGATTGGTGTTGCTTTAGATTGTTTAAGTTCTGATTAAATAATAATGTCATTATGTTTGCTATGTTTGAGGAAAACACTGAATTGTGTGCTTTTGGATCTATGTTTAATCTTTTACCGTTCTTGAAGAAAGAAATATACCCAAATGCGAAGATCGATGAACTTAGAGGAGAATGGGCAATGTATATATCGAACTTTTTTTAGCTATAGATGTTTTCATTGATGTCAAGGCGTCAATGAGGGAAAAAAAAATGTATTAAACTTTTGTTGAATGATATATTATTATTGTTAAATTTCGTTTACTTAATTAGTATGGTTCAAAGATTGTTGAATGTTTAAATTTATTTATGAATTGTGATAATTGTTGTTGGTTGAGGAATATTACGAAGAATTTCATTGTATTATTCTATTATTTAATTGATAATAAATTACAAAATAAAAATATTTACAAAAAAAATCTTTGACAGTTTTAAGACTATCAATGATAGAAAATTATTATTAATAAAATTTGATTATTATTATTATTAAATTATTATTTTTTTGTTTTGGTTAAAATCTCGATAGTTCAAAGATTGTGAATGACTGGTTAAAATTCGGTTAAATCCTTGACGGGTAATAACTATCAAGAATTTCTTAACAGTTCAAAAACAATCACCATTTTTTCTTGACACTGGCTTCAATGACTGGTGAAGAATTGTCAAGAAACCCCTTCTTGATAGTTAGAAAGGGTTTTTTTCTAGTAATGTTATAATCTAGTATAAAGAGATATGTAACATTATATATAGAGAAATTTAAGTTGATTTTCTCCAAATTAATCATAATCAATAAACTAATTACAAAAAATAAATTGTGATGCATGATGCTATCAATGGAGATTAAATAATAAACTAATTAAGTTCTATTCGATAATTTAATTGGTAATAATTAAGAAAATAAACTAATTACAAAAATAAATAAATAAATCTTGACAGTTTTAAGACTGTCAAGAATTTGGTTAAAATTTGAAAAATAAAAACTAAATCCTTGGCAATTTAAAAATTATCAAGGATTTGATTAAAATTTGACTAAACCCTTGACAGTTAAAAACCTTCTTTTTTTAATAGGGGCTAAATGACAGCTTAAAAACTATCAAGAACCCAATAACTGTCGAGAATCAAGGTTTATATATATATGCTAACATGCTTGTGAATGTCTTCACATTTTCAAAATTATTTCAACTGTGTGCTCACATCTGGTCATAATGTGTGCACATCTGATTAAATGTTTTCTCACTTCAGTGAAATTTCTATTTTTTCTAGGGTTTGTTTCTTTATATGTGCTTACATTCGTTTTCTTCCAATTTTTCTCTGTGCCATTTTAAGCTCATTGTTGGTTCAATCTCTTTTGCTTGTCAATCTGACATTGTTGATTTCATCATGAATCCCGGAAGTTCTTCTCTAAAAGACAAGCATCACGCCTTGCTCGCAGAGCTCGACTTCAACAAAATTCGTCTGAAGATAAACCCAATTCTTCTTTGTCTTCGTCTGACCAAGACGAGCAATCCCCTTCATTGGCTGATTCACAAAATGCGACGTCCTCTTCACCTGAAGAGCCACCAGCCGAGAAACAGAAACTTTCGAAGTCTTCTCAAGTAAAACCAAAAGTCTCCAAAAAGCATTCGAAGCCATCTGAAGCAAAGAAGAAAAAGAAAGTGGCTGAAAAGTCTGCATCTTCAGGTTTTGTAAAACATACCACTTTTGTTTATTCTAAGGCTTTTTCTCATTTTAAGAAGCACATTATTTCAAGACCTATCATTTGTGAAGCTCATTTCAAATGAGATGATTTTCCTGAGGTTTTGTCCTTGCTGTCAAATAAAAGTTGGGTAGTCTGTTGAAGGTCTTGTGATTCATTCTCACACTCTTGTTCAAGAGTTCTATGCAAATTTTAGTAAGGAAATTGACAAACCTGGACCTCATTGCAACCAGATTTTTGTTAGGGGAAATTGGATTAACTTTGACATTGATTTTAGAAATGTGCTTGAGATGGTTCTTGTAGAAATCTAGATGATTTGCAAACTTTAGTTTGGATTATATGGTGTTTTCTCTGACTGGAGAGTCTATCAGTAATTGGCCTTAGTGTGGGTTAATTCAGCCGAATCCCTTGACACCTTTTTACAAGGTTTTGTTCAAAATTACCTTGACCAACTAGTCTCCTTCTTTGCACAATTCATCGGTTAGGTTAGAGAAGGGTCAATTGATTTTTGGTTAGGCACTGGTAAGAAAATACATCTTGCCTCTTTGATTTATAATCACATTAGAGATGCTGCTGAATCTCGAAGTACCTCTCAAGCCTTGCCATTCCCTTGCCTTATTTATAAGGTTGTTGCTCCTTATAAACCAAAAAGGTATGCCAATGAGACCCTCTTAAAGCTCAAATTGATTTCTTCAACCTCTTTTAGAACTCAGTCTATGTCAGCCCCTTCCACTTCAAGGGCAGTTCCATCATCAACTCCTGCAAGTTCTTTTGAGACTAACTCATGGCAATCCAAGCTGTTTAGTGACTTGCAGAATCTAGAAAAAATTGTTGGTGACATGCATCAATAGATGATCAAGCAGATGGGTGATTTGCAGTCCAGTTTTGAAACTCACATGGCTCTACTGCATTTAAGAATGGACAACCTTGAAGGCATGTTGAAAAAGAAGAAGGATGATCCTCTGTCTACTCCAGTCTCTCATGAAGAAGATCCTGCTCCAGCTCATCCAGCTCTTGTCTCTCTAATTCCTCCTACATCAGATCCCATTGAACCTGGTGAAGCTTCAGTCCCTGACTCTACCCTTTAATAGTGCTCAGTTTCTAACAGAGGTACAAGAATCAAGAGACCAGCTACGAGAGCAAAGTTTTCTATCTGAAGATCAAGTCGTCATTAAGGTTTGATTCAAACCTTATGAACAAAGAGGGGGAGCAGTTTCAGGATTTTAAAATTTTCTTGAAAATGGTAGAGTGCATTTCTCAGGGGGAGTTTTCACTCAGAGGGATTTTTCTATGTGTTTAAATTTATGTTGTTGTCAAACTATTTATTGTTTTCTGCTGAACTTGGTTATGTTTCTTCTGAATTGAATTTTTTTAATGTTGCTTCAATATTGCTTTGGGTTGCTTTCATATCTTTTTGCTAGTGATGTTGATATTACTTAGAGATATGTTTTTGTGTTTTGTGCTCCTCTCATATCTTTGTGTTTGTGGTGTTGATAAAGGTTGAGAGACGTTCAAATTGTACTTTGTTCATAAGTTTGACAAATGGGGGAGATTGTAAGTGTTTTTGTCAACTTATGAAGATTGTGTGCACATTTATTCTGATGTTTGCACTTTTGGTTGATTATGCACAATCATGGTTGTTTTAATTGTTTGCACATGTTTTGACATATTGCTATTTGTGTTCACATTTTATTTTTCATCTGATTGAATTGAACAAATATGTGTGCATATTTGTTCTTATGTGTAAACATTTTATTAATCATATTTCACAGTACAGATGTTTCTCTCACTTTACTCGTTCAGATATTTCATTCATTGACAGCTATCATTCTCTTCATGATGGGTTTGTTAAAAAGTGATTGAGGTTGTGTTAGACCTCCCATACGCAAGGTCTATAAATCCAAGGGCAGGGGAAGGAATAGGAGTAAGGGTACATTGAGTGTGAGTTTGTTAAGGGATGGTGAGCTGTGCAATGAGGGTGGTTAGTGCATGGGGAGGTTGTTATGGAAATGGACACGTAGCTGTCAATTAGTTATGGGATAGAATAATTAGCTTATAAAAGGGAGGGAATGAGGGAGGCAGGGGATATCAAGAATTATATTCATAGGTCTGATTGGGAGGTCCCCAGCAGCTGGAATTGCTGGGAATCTGTCTGTTATTTCAATTGTTTCTGTTTATGTTCTCTCAGTTCCAATTAATGCAATCTACCATTTTCTCTATTTTGTGCATATTCTTTTGTAGTGTGTGGTGTGTTACTGTGATTCACTGATTTGCAGGGGAGTTCCATCAGTTTGGTATTAGAGTTAGGTTGCCAACAAAATTTCACGCTGGGGAATGGTCAAATTGAAGATGGATAATAGGATGGACAATATGGAAAAAGAGATGAAGTCAGTATAGGAGGATATGAGTTCAGTTAAGACTGATGTGGGTAGCCTTAAAGAATACTTGACCGAGATGAGAGAATTGTTGAGGTTGAGAGATGAGAGGGAAGAGAAACGTTATCGCGAAAAAGAGAAGTCCCAGTCATCTTTCGAGAATACGGGTTCCGGTGATGGCCGAGAGCAAGGACAAGAAACAATCGGGGAAAGTGGGAAAGAGGAGAGGAAAGCCCGGAAGCTAGAGCTTCAAATTCTTAGTGGAGAATACCCTTTTGGATGGACCTTTTGCGCAGACCGTTACTTTTCTATTAACAAATATGGACCATCAGAGATGGTGGAGGTCGTGGCTGTTTGCATAGAGGGTAGGGCGTTAAATAGTACCAATGGGTGGAAGGATGAGAACCTTTCAAGTTATGGGAAGAGTTCAAGGCTGGTCTAATCGTGAGATTCCAGCCGTCATTCCAAGGGTCTGCACACGAGGCGCTGGTGGCACTGAAACAAAACTCCGCTGTGACTGAATATAGGGAAGACTTTAAAGCCCTTACAGCACTGTTGAAAGATTTGGGTGAAGAATTGTTAATGGGAGTTTTCATCAATGGGCTTAGGGAAGAAATTAGAGCTGAGTTGAGAGTGTTGAGGCCCAACTCCCTCCAAGAGGTTATTAAGCAGGCCCATCGTATGGAGGAAAAAAA